CACACACACACACACACACACACACACACAGAGTGTGTTTTGCATGCAGTCCAGCGGAGACTGATGATGGAAAACACTGGCAGTAGTTTCCATCTTGGCCGGCTCGAATATGTCGACCACTTACAATCCTGACTCAGACCGGCCTTGGACAGCGTTTCCACCCGTCCCACATACATTAGGCATCAACTGAAACATGTCTGTAGTACCAGCGAGTGTCAGAAACTGTCCAAAACTACCAAAGGTCGGCATCAAGTCTCGCCTCAATCATTCTCTTATTCTTTAAAGTAATAGTTCCTGAAATAATCTCTGAAATTGCAGCCTCTTTAAGAACTTTGTTATATGAATTTAAAAAAAGTAATACTCGTGCAGAAAACATTGGTGGATCAAGTCAATCAACCAAAGAGAAAACATCGATTAATAACTAATAAACAATTTATAAATGAAAAAAGCAAAACATTTGCTATTTTCAGCTTCTCAAATCGAGAGCATATTGTTCTTTTATCTGTTTTATATGATTATAAATGAATGAACTCATGAATTAGAGTAAAGACCTGCCCATAACTAACTCTGGAAAACATTACTTACATTATCAAAAGGTACATCATTGCTTTTGGAACACATGTGGGGTCTTATTATACAACATATGGAGAATTAAGATTTAAGTAAAGAGACAAATGTGGCGGGTGGGTTGTAAACAGAAGTCTTCCTCTGCAATGGCCTGAACTATGTGATTGTTCCATTTCCTGTGAATTATTAATAGTCAGCTCTGAATATTGCCCCACACTTATGCAACAAGACATCCGTTAGTGATTATCTTAACCAAGTTTTACTCCGGTAATGAAATCAACAAGTCAAGTAAAAAAAAAAAATACAGATTCTCCAGTTCAGGGAAAGAGTTGCTGTGACAGACTTAATTGAGACAGGTTTGTCATATTTATTTTGGATAAATGAATTGTCATATTTAACAGTTAATAACAAAATAATCTTGAGAATAAATCAATAAATTAGTCGTTGGGTGCAGCCCTACTGAACTTTGGATGTGGGTGATTGCTAAACAGATGATATAACGGTATTTAAAATAAATCAGAAATAAAACTATGCCTCGTCCTGGAAGACACTTCGACCAACCCCTGTACAGACACAGGCCTGTTTCTGAAACAATAACTGCTGTACAAGCATCTAAAAAAAAAAAAAAAAAAGGAGTAAAAGATGAGTTTGGTCTCATGTTTTCATCTGCAGAGAGCACGCATAAACCCAACAGTCATCTGAACACAAGACAACAAGCTCTGTGTTTGATCTCCAGCTTCATGTTATGACAGCATGCCCATCCCCTTGTTGCTTTAAAAACAGACACAAGCAACAGTTCAAGCCTCACTTTATGGAAAACATAATCTGAGCCTAAATAAATCCTGGTTCAGATTGTGGACAACAGAGACGTTACCTGTCCGATCTTCTTCTCCGTGTGTCAGGTGATGATTGGTCACAGGACAAAGGTCACTGATCTCAGCCCGACTGTGAGAAAATAGATCCTTCCTCCTCACTTCATTTTCTCTTAGTTTCAGACCGAGCAGCTGATTCCTCTCTACTTTTCCACAGCGTGAGTGAGGTCATCCCATAATAACACAAACTTTCATTCTTTCTACTCTTTGCTCCTCCTGCTCGGAGAAAAAGCAGCTGATTTTCTTTCTTTAACTTGTGCAACTTGCTGTAGCTCCACCCACCCTGGCACTCACTGTGAGGAAATAAAACCCACCGCTTTCTGCTGCAGCTACTCACTGACTTTATGGTCTGTGGGAAGCTGAAAGGTGTGCTGGATAACTAACCTGGCATCGCATGAGGGGGCGGAGTTATCAATCTACAAGCTGGCATTCAAAAGCTCCGAATCAGCAGGGAGATTAAAACAGTTCTGAAAATGAAACACCAACTCTAACCACTTGACCATATATATATATAAAAAAGAAAAGAAAAAAGAGAGAGAGAGAGAGAGAGAGAGAGAGAGAGAGAGAGAGAGAGAGATTTAAAGAAATATGCAGGTGATAACAGGCCGATAAGGGAAACAAAAGAGAGCTATTGTCATGAACAACACAGTGACTGGAGATAAAACAATGGTGGTCAAACCAAACAGGTTTTACTTCAATATCTCAGAGTCATCAGTTTAGCATTATAGTTCACCAGATAAAAGAAGTTCAATGTTTCCTGGACAGAGACTGGAAGAGTGAGACGTATCACACATAAAGCAGACTGGGAGTTTTAACTTGCCCCAACTCTTCTGGCCACGCCCCCATCTGATGTCACAGCAGGCGTTTCACATTAGATGGAAAACACAATATTTTGGGTTTGATTATTATATTTTGTATAATAATCCATTATTGTAATAGTTCAGTATTGTATGCAAGATAACAGGTATGTTTATGCATGGCAGTGGCACTAATAGGCCATCACTCTTTTTCGTTTCCACATTTATGTTTAAAATGAAAACGTCAATTTGAATAGCTTGTATGCAGGATTATCATGCAATGAACAGACAATGTTGATATTGGCATTGGAATCAGCTGACAATGTATGTTTATAAATAGACAATATATATAACATTATAAATGTGAACATTTAAAAAAAAGAAGCCAAGTCTGCTGAAATCTTGCAGGACTCTACTCTACTGCACCAAACAGCAGACAGACACAGTTAAGGCACCCGCTGGTGAAAAAAGTGGAGCATTTAGCAGCTAAAGAGACCAAAAACAGAGCTGAAATAAGACGGTTTCTGAAACATCTAAGCGGTCTTGATTTGCCGACACCGACAGCGGGGGCGGAGCAGACACACGGCTCTTTATTTTAAGTCTGTTTTCATGCCGGTCAGGATGCTCGTCTGATTTCCAGACTAGAAGCTGGAGCAAGGCAGCAGATGGCACTGCCCACCAACCGGCATCACACATAGATCTACAAGAGCCAATCCCAAACTCACAGGTGGGACTCTCAGTACAGTAGGAAGCTCCATGCTGGGTGAGCTGCTGGTCTGCTACGGCCCATTGAACCGCACGCACGCACGCACGCACACACACACACACACGTAGCGTGTGTACACAATATCCTTCATTCTCCAACACTCAGCATGAATTCATGTAAACATCAAATGACCGTTTGACCAACACCGACGACAGGTTTTAAATGGTGGATCACAAAGATAAATAAATACACACACACGAAGCTCGTTAACAAAATGGCAGTCCTCATCAACAACTAGACTGACACTAATCACATCACTATGCAAGCAGAAGAGTGTGTGTGTGCGTGCGTGTTTAGCAACCAGACATCTATTAAAACCATCCGTCTCTGGTTCATTGTGACCGAGCAGAAACAAACCTTTCAGTCTAACAATGGAGAGTTATTTTTTTACAATATGTTCAAACTACCAAACAGCTTCATGCGTCAGTATTAACCAATGAGAATGCTTACTCGCTTCGTCGCCGCGCCTCCATCCCATCAGGTAGGAAGAGTTTGATTGTTGACACGATGCAGCCATGAGTGACTGCAAACACAGACAGACGACCATGTTAATGTTCAACACCTCAGTACTGGTTACCAGAGTCAACATCATCATCAGTTAAGGCGGCAAAACCTGCTTAAAGTTGATCAAAATCAAAATATGTTCAACTGTAATTCTCAAATCGCACAAGGCGTAATATTTGTTAAAGGCAAAATGTAAGTCAAAATAACATTTTAGTTTAATATTTAATATCGACATCTGGCCTTCACCTTCACATCATATTCTACAGATTTAAGGAAACATTTGTTTGGTACAGTTCATTGAAAACATTTAACCGAAAGCTTTGAAATATGGTTTTCAATAGAAATGTGTGGATAACAATGTTTCAAGAGCCTGGAAATTAATTTTCATACTGTAAATGAATGGAAACCAATGGCTGCCCAGAACATAAGGGAAAAAATGAATCACAAAATACATATTTATAAACTGTACAGCAGGAATTTAAAGCATTCATGATTTGTAACTGAACATCTAAAATCTGCCAACACACGAGGCTTCAATTGTTCACTACGCTCGTCCTGAGAAAATGATCTCCAACTTAAATACATTTGGTGCTAATTGTATCTCGTGTAACTCAACGGATGTTCACAGATTAACATAGAATAGTCGTCCCACATGGATGGAGGTTGAATGCTCTTTGAATGAATTATTAGTGGAGCTGAAGAGCTGACCCAAATATCTGCTCTGTACTTTGTATGCAGACAGTATGTAGTCTGTGACCTCAGCTACATACGCCTTAAGGCCCCCTTAAAGGTTAGTGGAGTGAATTCAGGGTTGTCTGTGTGCATGATTAACTCAACATTACTGGTAGAGGGGAAAAAAAAAAAACATGCTTGCATCTCTCTCAACATACAACAGAAAGTGTCCACGTTTGAAATGACTAGAACTTGAATAGATAGATCTTTCTCTCTCTCTCACACACATGTGCGTGTACCTTTGCGTGTGTTCTCAGTGACGTCGACGCCGAACTGGATGATGTCGCCCGAGAGGACCTCGCAGGGCGGACTCTCCTCCGAGCCGCGACTCAACCTCTGGCTGTTGATGAACGTGCCGTTGCTGCTCTTAGTGTCCTGCAGGTAGAACTGACACACACACACACACACACACACACACACATACACACACACACACACACGGCAGGTAAGAAACCTTAAGAATCAGTCATAATAATAACACATTTACAGCACTGTCACAAAAACAACAGACATGGACAGACTGTTGTATTTAAGTAGAGTCAAGTTTAAAACTATTAAAAACACTGAATGAAGGGAGAGAAATATAAAACATTGAGCTGCAGCTCATAATGACATTTCACAAACATTAACAGTAATATCCAAACTATACATCATACTCGTGCTCATTTCAGCCAACCAATGCTGAGAATGTCACAATCAGGAGGGAGCCGATACACAATGATAATATTAATACCGTCTTTCGTAGCTTAAAAGCTAACGTTAACAGAGGTTGGGTTGACTAGCATGGTGCGTTCAAGCTCTACTCAGAAAAATAAGTATTAGGATGTGCTCAAATGTAATCTTGTAAAATGTAGATTTTGGTGAGAAACTTCAATAAATACAGTTGTTTGAAGGAGATGTTTTCACAGCAATATAAATAGATATTAGAGATGAATTATGACCTGTTGAACTTCCTCAAATAAGCTGCTTATTATAAATCATTTAAACTACTAATGCCAAGATTTCTTTTAATCACGGCAAGCATATAAGTAAATAAAGATACAATCATTTATTTCCTATTCATTTGAATGCGTTTTATGCAAATAACCACAGACGACAAAAACTAAGGAAAAGTAAAATGCAGAATTTGACGGTTAAATTGATTTCGGGATGGTTGAAATGACGCCATGCAGTGCTCTGCCCCTTAAAAACTATTTATATTGACATTCAAGGAAAAGCAAATATACTGTGACACGATACTATATTCATTTTAGGCCATACCGCCCAGCCCTAGCTCTAATATTAACCATAACCATATCTTGAGTTAAATACTCACATCAGTATATTAAGATCCTCACAATGACTGATTCTTAGCAGGTATAATATTTACCATGTTCACCATCTTAGTTTAGCGTGTTAGCATGCAAACATTTGCTAATTAGTACTAAACACAAAGTACAGCCGGGGGTGATAAGAACGTCCTTAGTCTTGCAGGTATTTGTTCGTAAATCAAAGTTTTGGACAAAAGGAAATTTTGGCGGAAAGTCCCGGGATTACCAAAGTCGGTCGTCTTCACCCTCTGTGAACCATGTCTGTACCAAGTTTCATAAAAGTCCATCTAATAGTTGTTGAGCCATTTTAGTTTGCAACAACCAGCATTGCCACCCTGGGATCCACGTCATAGAGTCAGACACCACAGGGTTTTCTATCACCAACACATACTCCAATGTATCTATTACCTTTTCCTGGTTTGCCTCCTCATTATTATTATTACACAAAACATATGTTTTTTTATCTGCCCCTGAACACTTCGGTTTGTTCCACAGACTTTACGCTAAGAAGACACAAACTACCGGTAAGCTTTTTCTGTGGAAGTTTTTGACATAACAAATATTTATGGTCAAAAACAAAAAGGAGTAATAACTGACCTTGTCTGCCTATCAAGGTACCCCGTCAACATCAACTCTCACTCATCACTACTCTCCTCCCGTCAGCACATGGCGGTGTGACTGGTTCATAATTTAATCCTCAGGCTTTGCTGTAGGTCTACCGCCCAGAAATACACAATAACACCGACCATACAGCAACATTTATCATCATTTAAAAGCACATAAGACAGTCACATTACACAAATCCACAAGGACAACAACAACCATGTCAGTAAAACACAAACAGCAAGAATCAACTCTTTCATTCACACATCATTCAGGAAAAAAAAAAACACTGAAATCAATTATAATTTCACAGAAACGAAGTGTGCGCGCACGCGCACACGCACACACACACACACACACACACACGGCAAAACAACTGCACATGTACAGACAAACAAGGATTAAAAGCTAACAATAACACACACAGAACACAAACCTTAAGCATGAACACGCTGACACATTAAGGTATGAATTACACTACACTACACACACAGTTTGCAATCTGATCTGGATGCCTGAGGCCTGTCTGTCGTTCCAGGAGTTTCATTCAACAGCTCTCAGCTCTCCGTCACGACTGAAAACCAATGTCGATCTACCAGAGAGAGCGAGAGAGACAGAGAGACAGACAGAGCGAGAGAGAGACAGAGACAGAGAGACAGAACACAGACGAGGGGAAGGAGTGACTGAAGGAGGAAGACGAGAGAGAGAAAGAGATGCAGAGACGGACTGTTTGACTGCCATTTATCCGACTGCAGTGTGCTGCGAAAAAGCTACCAATTCACAGATCATGATAGCTATATAAATATAAATACATACACACAGACAGTTACCTCCTGTCCCCATGGTAACCTGGAGACAGCGAGGGAGGGACCTAACTATAGAGCTTTTCACCCAGTAACACACACACACACACACACACACACACACACACACACACACACACACGACATCATCTACCTGTGAGCAGCAGACTGCTGGTTTAGCCCTCTGTCTATATTCATTAAATCATTTGCTCGTTTTACAGCATCATCAGCCAGTAAAACATAATCCAGTAAAACACAAAAGCCTGGAGCAGCTCCCTCTGAATGGGACCACTGTGTTAGGCACAGCAGGGGTCTCAATGCAGAGGCTCTCCGCCTAAAACTACACAAAAATGTTTAGACAGGCAAGACATTAATCTTGACCATTTAAATTGCATTTACATGAAATGTATGGTAAAGACGTACAACTGAAAAAAAAACAAAACAATTGCATGGTCCTTTCAAATAGATTACAAAAGCCGCATGTCCACCATAAATTCCTGGTAATTTAATCCCACAACTACTTTTCAAGGAACTGAAAGGTTCCTTCAGCCCATTGTTGTCTGCGTTTCCATAGCGGCCTGAAGACCTGCGAAGATTAGGCAAATCAGTCCGCCGACGTACGACAAAGAAACATGACACGGGACGAGGGGTGCCGGTGGTCTCCAGGGGTAAACACTGAAACAAATATAACACCTTAGTTTTGTCTCACTCTGACGACATTTACTGCTGCAGAGTATTTACTGATTCATGTAACGATGTAAGGAATGACATGAAGAGGAAAATGAAACACAGGGCGTCTGTCTCTACAGTAAATCATCTGTTGAGTGTGCCGTGAATCTCTCTCAGTCACGGCACCGTGGCTCCGTCTACCGCTCGTCTTCTCAGTTCTGTTTTAAAATCGGCCTAACTTTACCTTTAAGGTCAGCAAACAAAGAGAGTACTTCCTCATTCTATGAATGAAGCGGTGAACAAGTTGAAGCAGCTTCACATTGTGGCGACGGTCATCCCCTGCAAACCTCACCCTGAACGTTCCTGTACTTTCAGAATGTACTAGCCCACACCAGAGCCTTTTTGGGGGGTAAGACGTCCCCAGAAATTAATTTAGACCTTCCGGTGAAAACATAGTGAGCATCCTAGTCCCTGCTGTTTAAAAAGGGGCTCAAGCTGCTGATCAATAAGACTGAGAACATTTTCAACTGCTACACATTCCTTTTATTTCCCATAATTCACTTCACTTCAGAGGACAAGTCAACAAGTACGAGCTTCTTTACCTTCCACTGAGCCTCAGAGAAGCTCTCGGTGTCTTTCTGTCGGTTACAGCTGTCGTCTGAACCCCCAAACTGATTTCAACTTAAACTTCACGGCATGAATCGCTCAGGAAGTCTCTTTCATTTCCCCAAAAACAAACAAAGTGTGGCCAATGAGGAAATAAAGCTACTGTGATTCAGCACTAAAGCCAGAGCTATACAGCTGGTTAAATACGACACACTTCAGTGGTTTGAAGTCATCACACTCTGCAAAATGACTGGCTGACTGCTAACTCAAAAGCATGTGTGAATGAATGACAGATCCATTGGTTCGAAGGTTACCCCGGTGACTCGAATCTGAACCAACATGAATTATATTTGTGTTCGTCTGGGACGCTTTATCAGCTCTTCTCCTTCTGAAACGTAGACACAACAAAGCAGATCACAGACTGACTTACTGACACACTAACCATGGATAATGGCTGAGATTCCCCCTCTGTGTGTGTGTGTGTGTGTGTGTGTGTGTGTGTGTGTGAGTGTGAGTGAGAGAGAGAGAGGGGGAGAGAATTCTTTCCTTGTTCAGTCAGCTGGTGAACTCGACGTCTCACAGCTAGCTACTGTCTCTGAAGAGACAAAGAACAGTTCTGGTTTATAACAATGTGAGTCTTCATCTCCTCTAGACTGAGCACTCCACTACAGTGAGTACAGCAGATCAACGTTGAAGCAGGAAGTGGGTCAGTAACCTGTGACGGACGTTTACAGCTGTGAGACAGTTCTGGGTCATAATGTTACCTTCAGTTTATCTTAATAAGTTTCTGTAACCTGGAAGTTAGTACACAAACTCTCTGATCGTCTGTCTCCTCACGTTTCTTGACCCGTGTCACTTTGTTTGTGTTATTATCGTCTTTCCGGATCTCAAATATTAATTTGGTAAGAATGATCGCATCATAGTTATTTCAAATGACAGACAAAGCCACACAACCTGTAATAGACAATGATTATCCTTTAAGATGAGTCTATACCTGAGTGTTAGAGGGAACCAAGGAGGACAGACGGCATCCAAACACATGCAATGTTTCTATCATCATCTCACCTCAGAAACAATTATTCCTCCTGTGATGATGATGATGATGATGAAGCAACACATGATCAGAGCTGATAAGAGCATCCACTTGGATCTATAAAGGTATTCAACTTACTGACACACAGACCTGAGATCTGTGGCAGAGCACAACAGGACCATACCCGACGTCACCAAATGATGTCGGAGCAAAATGTCACAGCGTTGGACGTCTGCAGCCAGCTTATTATTATCATCATCATCCAAACATTTATACACGTAGTTGTTTGGTAAATAAATTGTTCAAATTCTCAGTATAGAGAAGCAGGAACCATCCCATGTCTGAATAACTATTATTTATAAT